GCCAAGGACAGGACCCAAGCTAAGCAAGAGGAGTAGGAGGAATCACATAAGAAAAAGTTGTTAAAACAGTCCTTGGAGAGTGAAAAGGATGACTATGAAAGCCAAGCCAGAAGAGGGTGTCAGAAATCAGAAGTATTGAAGAATACAGAGAGATCAGGGAGGAAGCAGAATAGAGCGCATAAGATGTGGTGAGGAATGGACATCATTCCTAATGCATCTACTTTTGCCATTATCTGGCCACGACAATTCCCAAAGATCAATGTCTTTTTAAGATCCATATGAAAGGTGATAAAGTATAGGTGTAGCTGACATCTTGCTCACTGCTTGCTCCAGAAATTTAAATGTTTGAAAAACTATTTTAAGATGTAATTGCATAATATTGAGCAGTCACTGTATGTGAATGTCTAACCCACATTTGTCTATTACAAAGAACACAATGCAGCATTCACAGATTACTCCATCATGGGTGTTGTTTCAGCACACTATTGCTTCACCGCAATTTTATTTTTCCTTTTGATGTTCCTTTCCCGCTCCCCCCCCACAATGAAGCTTTGCATTTCTTCCACAATTTTTGATGTTGTTCCTCTTCATCCATTTCTTAATGGTTTTATTATGTGAGCTTATACATAACTTCTTGTTCTCTACATGAAGGCTGGCAGAAGAAAAATAAATTAAGTTGTCTATTGCAAAAAAAATAATAATTTTTTAAAAGTAACTTATAAAAGGTAACACATATTTCAAAGCAACAAAACAACTTTGGTCTTAGGCATTGGGAGAGCAGCTTGTGATCATCGTGTTATCTTACTCCCAAACAGAACTAGTTAAATAGCTGAATTTTTCTGTTGGCTTGTTTGCTGTCTGTTCTACACTAAGGCTGTGTCTACACTGGGCCCCTTATTCCGGAAAATCAGCCGCTTTTCTGGAAAAGACTACTGGGCTGTCTACACTGGCCCTTGAATTTCCAGAAAAGCAACGATGCTCTACTGTACAAAATCAGCCGCTATTCCGGAAAAACTATCCTGCTCCCGCTCGGGCATAAGTCCTTATTCCGGAACACTGTTCCGGAAAAGGGCCAGTGTAGTCAGCCCAGTAGTCTTTTCCAGAAAAGCGGCTGATTTTCCGGAATAAGGGGCCCAGTGTAGACACAGCCTTAGTGTAGAACAGACAGCAAACAAGCCAACAGAAAAAAATCTCGAAAATGGCGATCGGGGCTCTTTTCCGGAAAAGCGCACCTACATTGGCAACGGACGTTTTTCTGGAAAAAGGGCTTTTCCGGAAAAGCAGCCTGCCAATGTAGATACTCTTTTTCCGGAAAAACTGAAAACGGAATAGTATTCCATTTTAAGCATTTCCGGAAATTCATGCCAGTGTAGACACAACCATTATGTTTGGTTTGTTTGAACGAAACTCAGACATATTTGGCTAATAGAAGAAGTCCATTTTGGGGTCAAATGAAACACTCCTATAATGCTGAAATATTTTGTCTTGACTTTTTTAAATGATTGTGTTTCAGGAGAAAGAGACAGTGGTGATGCTACCCTCCCTTCTAGCCCAGTGGTTAGGGTACTCCTCTGGGCTGTGAGAGGCTGAGGTTCAAATGTCTGTTCTAACATAGCTATTTGAATTCAGGCCTGCCCCATCCCAAGTGATTAACCTAACTACCAGCCTACAGAACTCTTCTCACTCTCTCTGGTCCAATGACCATTAAAGTATTTTATCACAAGAATAACACCTTCAGTGGAGTGATAGGAAGACATCCACACTAGGATACCCTGTATCCAGAGGTGAACTTATGCACAAACTAAATAAGCTACAGCATAGGGCCTTAGTTTATAAGGGGTCTCTAAATCAAAAATATTACTAGTTTTAGTTGCATTTTCACCTATGTAATGGGATATATGTAAATACTAGGGGGTGGTGCCCCCTGCTCGTTATGCTTTCCAACCCCTCTCTCTCTGGGGGGGTAGGTGTCTGACTGGGGGCAGGGTGCAAGAGCAGGGGAAGGTGCAAAAGCATGTTGGGGGTAGGTGTCTGGCCAGTCGGAGGGTGCAAGAGCAGGCTGAGGGTGCGGAGTCTCAGTGGAAGGGATGTGAGAGAGGACTGGGGGTGCAGGGTCCCTATGGAGGGGGTCTGAGTGTGCAGGGTCTTGTTATAGGAGGTGTGTAAGAGAGGTGGAGGTGTGAGGTCTCGGCAGGATGGTGCATGAGGGGGTTGGTGGTGTGGGGTCTGGGCCAAGGAACTGTGTCAGGCGGTTGGGTTGTGGGAAGAGTGGGGAAAGGTGCATGGCAGGAGACCTCATGGCTCCCCTGCCCCCAGGTTAGGAGAAGAGGGAGGCCTCATGGCTCCTGTCCTGCCTGCAGCACCAGGGAGGGGGAGGAGAAGGCCTTGTGGCTCCTATCCCCCTGGGAAGGGGAAGGGAGGAGGCCACGTGGTTCATGGCTTCTGCCCCCCCCCCAAGAGCACCGGGGGGGAGGGGAAGCCACATGGCTTATGTTTCCAGACCCCCCCAGAGCAATGGGGAGGTGGAGACACAGAGGAGGCAGGGTGGTAGGAGGCAGGGCAGCTGAGGGCAGAGGGGTGGTAGGACACAGGCTGACGTGATGACATCACTCTGTCATCCCGCAGGATACTTTTTTGTAATATATAGAAAGAGATAAAACTTTATTATTCTATTTTCATTGTCCTTTCTGTTAGAATACTACCCATTTTTTAGTAATGCTTAATCTTGTCATAGTTTAGGGCCACAGATTGTCTTAATCTGGCCCTGCCTGTATCCCAGTGGGTAGGGCGCTCAGATGGGACAGGGAGACCCAAATTCAAAAACAAAAAGCTTACAAAGCCTAAGATGAATAGGTATGTTTCCATGACATTAAACTTAATTTAATGCTTGTATTTTAAGAATTACCTTGAGATATTACTAATCAAACGTGTTATTTTGGTAGTACATGACAGCAAAAAATGAAACTGAGTAGGAATGACTATAAAACGTAAGACTATTCTCATTTTCCATGTTGTGTGACATGCAAAAGCCACAAACATTAATGGTGAAATATAGATTAGATTTTTTTTAATTAATTCAGCTTTAACAATCAATGGTGTAATGCAGGGAGGAAAAGTTTTTAAAATATATGGAGTCTTTTTATCCACTATCACATCAATTCTATTATGCTCCCATAATCAATGGAATGATACTGGTATGAAATTGGAATAACTCACTAGAAAATCATGCCCAAACATTTTTAACTTTTGCCAATGTCCCTTTAATATATCTTTACACAGAACACCACTTACATCACAGCTGGTAAGTTGCACACGCCATCATCTTTCTGGACTTCAAAACGTTTAACTTTTCTTAGCAGTCTTCTGGGCACATGGGGCGCTATTTCTGTGCAACAGTTAAAGGAGACTGGAAAGAGAGTAGCTAAAAGAATCAAAAGGGGAAAAAATCTTTTTAACACTGAAATAAATGGGACATGGTGCTGCCCATCTTGTCAAAGATTGGTAAAAAATGGCAGCTGGTGAGATTAGTCAGGTGTTTCTTTTGCTTGGGTCTTCTCACTACCACGACCACTACTCCTGCTATCACAGAGGTGGGCATATACCGGCCAATCCCCAGCAGCATTGGGGCTGAGTTGATCGGGCGGCCCCAGCCAGAGAACCCCTGGTGGCAGAAGGGCCAGGCAGCAACAAGGAGGTCTTGGATGGGGAGCCCTGGGGAATCCCCAGTGGTAGCTGGACAGATGGCTTCTGAGCAGGGCTATTGGTGGCTCGTGGCCCCAGGAACCTCGAGGAATCCTGGTGGTAGCGTGTCCAACAGTAGGGTGGGAGCCCCAGCCTTGGGAGCCCAAGGCAGCCAGTAGGGGGAGCATTGACCTCCCCTAGTCCAGTAAACTACCTGCTTCAGGACTGCTCAGGTCCCAAGGGTGCCAAACAAGGGCGGTCCAATCTGTATTATGCAGCCCCTCTTTAAAATCCAATAAAACCCAACCTTTTATGAAAAGAACATTATTATGCACCAGTTATAGTTGTTAAGGGCAAAACACACTCACATAAAAGCAAGACAAGAACACGCTGTCAGAACTTTCATTGACACTTTTACAAGAAACTTCCACCTCCCATAGATAAACACACATTAAAAACAACACACATCTGATTTTTGTTACAATGCCAAACCTTGACTGTCCCTCTGCTGTTCACAAGAGCATTTTACTGATAATACATGAACTAGCACACATATATAAATGTATGTTGATGTTGCTGAGGTCAGAGTTAAGGTTTTTTCATTAGAATGTGATTTAGTTGGAGATAGAACAGGAATTTCCTATGGGTGTGTAGAATCTGATAAAGTGTTCACTGAGTGCTTATTAAAATGCAATAAAAAAAGTACATTTTCTTGCTGTAATAGATGGGTAAGTGTATTTTGCCTTCAAGCTAGGAGAATTAAAGGTCTCAGTATACCATATACTTGTACTGAGCATGCTGTTACACAAAGTAGAGACTTACCAATGACAGTACAGGCAGTGCCCGAGTTACGCGGATCCGATTTATGTCGGATCCGTACTTACGAACGGGGCTTTTCTCGCCCCGGAGGACGTGGGCGGCGGGACCGCCCAGACGCGCCGAGGTCCCGCCGCCCGCATCCTCCGGGGCAAGAAAAGCTGCTCCACGTCTCCCTGGTCTGCTGGGGGGGACCCCAGCAGACCAGGGAGGCGTGGAGCAAAGCTGCGGAGGACCCGGCCGGCAGGACCGCCCAGACGCGCCGCGGAGACCAGGGAGACCCCCCAGCAGACCAGGGAGACGTGGCGCGGCTTTTCTCTCCGCGGAGGACGCGGGTCTGCTGGGGAGAACAAGACACCAGCCAAAAGGGGGCACCCCAGAGCGGAAAAATTAATTTCCTAGGGAACAGCAGGAGAATCAGGCAGTGAGACCCATTGTGTTACAGTCCCCACCTTGGGAGCAACAGCTCTTTCCATCTTCAGCACTAGAGCTGCAAGTATCTTGTTAGCGTCACGTGAAATTAACAAGTCCCTTCCAGGCAGGGAGAGGTGAAGCTGAAAAATTACCCAGTGGTGTGGGTGGGCAAGAATGGGGAGGAGCAGGACAGAAGGGAAGAGGGGATAAGCCCCAACCCCACACCATGGCTGGAGTGGAGCAGGGTAAGCTCCGAGGGGATGGGTCTGGTTGCAAAGTGGGTGAGTGGACAATGAGGACCCACCTGTGGCTAAACTCCTGTTCCCAACACAGAATTTTTCTTTAAAATTAATCCTGTGGATAAATTCACACACACACCTCACAGGAAGGGATTTCCATTTTCTGCTCAGCAGAATACAACAACAGCTTTGATTGTATCAAACTGATCAGCGGCTGATTCCAGGAAGCCCGGGGCAGAGAAACTCTGCCTCGGGCTTCCTGTAGTCAGCCACTGGTCAGTTTCAGGAGCGGCTGAATCTGGACGCCAGTTCCGACTTAAGTACAAACCTACAGTCCCTATCTTGTACGTAACCCAGGGACTGCCTGTAGTTAACAAAAAGACACTGGAGGCTGCCCATTACAGATGGCTGAGGAAGGTACTGCACAGCTCATGCAAAGACAAAATAACAAACATAAGGATAAGGGAGTTGTCTGGAACTATCAGTAGATCAAACTGCAAGATATTCCTAATCCCCCTAGTCTTGTGGTATCCATTTGGGAGTCTTAACACAGAATCAAAAATAAAGTTGGTGCTTTGTACAGTAGAGATAAATACAATAAATAAAATCTGCTTCCCCGACAATTGTTGTTTTTTATTAAATGTTGTATGTTCCAAACTGTGATGAAGAGAATGAAACCACTGTCCTTGAAGCTGCAACAACTATTGTACATGACATCTCTGGACCAGATGGGTCTGTCTAAAGCCACTTAGCTGCTCCTATCTTCCCATCCTTCCTCAGTTCCCCCTCCCTGAGGATCCTGGCCCCAGGGATTGGACGTGTCTACACTGCAGCATTTTTCAAGAAAAACGGACATTTTCCCAGAAAAACAATGCTTTCATCCACCCTGCCATTGAGTTCTTTTGAGGATTGTGAAGGAAGGGGGATGGAGTGAGCAGGATGAGGCCTCAGAGAAGGGGCGGAGGGGGCAGAGCCTCAAAGAAGGGGCAGGAAGGAAGTAGGGCAAGGGTGTTTGGGTTTGAAGTAAATCTTACATTGCACTTAAATTGAAAAAGATCTTGTGGTTTAAAAGGTTGAAGACCACTGGTCTAAAGTAAGGTAATAATCATTAGAGCTTATGGCTTGGAGAGGGGTGTAGAAAGTTACCTCTCACTTTTAAATAACATTTATTTTGTGCTGTTCAAAGATGTTATTTCCATCTTGGTTTGAAATAGAATCCCTAGATCACACTGGTGTCAAAGAAGCCTGAGGAGGAATGCTGATGGATTCTTCTAGATGTGGTGGAGAGGAGCATAGTGGTGCAGAAGCAATACTTCTACCCCCACTTGAAAGGATGCAACGTACACTCCCTTCCCATCTGTGCTGGGCTGCGAGGGTAAGGAGTAAGGCCAAGGCCGGGGCTGGTGCCAGTGGCTAACCTAAGACACTTGTGCCCCCTTTCCCTTTATGCACTCATGCAGGACCTGCCAGACTTATCCTTAAGTGTGATTTTAGGCTGTCTAGAGCAGAGGTGACAGGAAAGGTCACACACATACCCCAACACTGTGAGGAGAAGGGACAAGAGGCCAGCAGCCACAGGTCCAGAACCTCTCCTCTTCTGGCCACGCTGCTGCACCTTCCCAGGCAGCCTCCAGCCACACAGCCGTTTTTCCGACAAAACCTGAGTTACGTCCACACTGAAAGCGTATTCTTTTGCAAGTAAATTGAAAGAACAGAGGGCTTTTCCCGCAATTGGTAATCCTCATTCTACAAGGAAGAAGCTTTTTTGTGAAAGAACTCTTTTGCAAAAAGGCGTGTGTGGATGGGGAGGAGGGGTTTTTTGCACAAGAAGGCTGTGTCTAGACTGCAGGATTTTTTTGAAAAAAGTAGCCTTTTTTCGAAAAAACTTCACCTGCGTCTAGACTACAACCGCCTTCTTTCGAAAATAAATAGAAAGA